CTCCAAATAAAGTCTATGTGTGGAAAACACTGAAAATACAAAATTCATCATGCATGATTGCCCCTTTTTTCAATCTGAAATAGCTAAAGCCTGTCTAACTTTGATTTAAATCAAATTAGATTCCTGTAGGTGTACCCATTGTCCTGACTGTGATAGAAGCCTTTGGTCTTTTCATCAGTTACTTATTAAACACCACCTACAGAAACAGGACACAGAGGCACTCTTATCTGTGCGAGTGTAAACAGCAGCTACACAGTCACAACCAAACGCTCAAACTGACAAAATTACAGCTCCCTGTACCCTTATCCTCCTATTAGGACACCCCACCAAAGGCAGCTTTAGTCTTGTACTGTAATCCTAAAAGCTTTGTTAAAGGCAGACAGGCTAACAAGTGAATGCACTCATCCTATTACAATAAGCTTGTTGAAGGCTAGTGAGACTCATGAGAAGTGATTTCCTCCTAATGCATCCAAATTTTCAAGGCGACCATATATGCTTGCAATAAGCAGAACTATTTTAACTTCTTTAAAGTACGAGTCCAAAGGCAAATGCTTGTTTGATGATGTTAAATCAGTAGGCTACCAACAGGCTGCCAGCTGGATGTATGCCATATCATTCTGTGCTATTTGGCATACACTGGGGTCCTTTGAATTGTGCTTGAGCTTGGCACTCGCTCCCCATTCTTTTTCCCTGTGTTTTTCCAGATGCATATTGACACAGGGGTAAGGCTGGGAGGGCTATGATTAGTCGGCCCAAAATTAAAGTCTCTCTTCCCACATGCCAGCTTACTGACAGGCCAACTCTGCAGGGAAGGATGGAGAAATTACAAAGTCATTTCTCCTCATCTCTCCTCTCCACTGCTGGGATCCATCACCAAAAAAAGGAAGGGGCTCACGCGTCTGACAGATGAAAGCTTTTAAACTTCAATCACTATTGGGGTGAATGAGGCAGGGAAGGAGAACCAAATGAGCGAGGCAGGCCAGTACGGTGACACCATGCACCCACCGTTCCCACATCACACACACTCCAATTAATTGCTTGTCGACTCAGAGTTTCTGTGAGGAAAGCTGCAATAATAAGTGGCAATAAACACTTTAACACTTGTATTTGCCCCCAAAGCACAGCACCCCATAAATGGGAGAGCTATTGAGCATGGACTTGCTAAAAGAGACAGTTGACGTTGACTTTGGTTTTCTATTATTGCCTCAAATCCACCACCAGCTCAAAACAACATAGAAAGGAAAGCAAGCCAGGTCCCTTAGATCAGAGATGTTTTAGAAGCAAGCAGTTGGTCAAATTTGACTGCTAACCCAAGTAACATTTGGTAACGATCCCAACTCTGACCTAGATAGTTAAAGTATGCAATTTTGCTTTCCATTAAACAGTTCTCCCAAAAAATTTCCCTAATTGATATTTTAAAAAGTATCCACTTTTTTCCCCCAGATTACAGGTTAAGATAGGGTTAGGGTTAACGTCTTTGGCTGTGACCTGCGTCCGATCCAGTGGGTTAGGGTTGGCAGATAGCATAGACAAAGGGAAGCTAGTAAAACAACATCAACAGCATCAAAAACAACAGCAATGCATTGATTATCACTAAACTGCTGTATAGTGAGACAGTCATTACTGTTTGCAAAATGTCACTGCAGTTTTGTATGTTTTATGTTTAGTATCAATCAACACTGTTCCACTGTTTCAAACTGCCACAACTGCAGCAAGGAAAAAAAGAAGAAGATTTATCTAGAAAAAATATGCCTGAGCTAAATTTGGCTGATCTCCATTCAAGATCATCTTCTTGTGCATTTCTGTACTATTTTTCTGAGCTTCTACCATTTGTAGGTCACTTTGTAGAAGTCCCCGTATGCCCCTTTGTTCTTGCACTAGATCTCCACCAGTGTGTCAAGACAGTCTTAGAACTTGGGTTTCATTTTCGGGAAGTAGAAAAATTGCAGGAAGGCAATTCTGACAAACAGGGCAGGTGGTGAGTGATGACTGCGTTGGACAAAAAATATTTTCAATGGCACTCTGGTATGCATCACAATAGGTCATTTCTGCTGAGTTTTTTACAGTAGATCTCCACACTTGACAGCTTCACCCTGGAGCAGGAATTCATGGTGGGACATGACCCCAGTAAAAAAAAATTATAGAAGCCACACTTAAAAATTTTGGGGCATGCCAGAGAAGATCATCAAACTAATGTATAAGAAAAACCATAGAACTATCAATTGCAGTTTTAAGGTATTTGACTAAAATGTTGTATACATTCACAGCTAAGTTGATACAGAAGATTAATTTTGAGAGTCTGTGACAATGACAAGTTTGCTCTTTATTGGGCGTGCCATTTTGACCTGAAAAACAAATGCCATAGTTATCATCACTGTCCTGCATATTGTTTAAAGCAGCCTGTACAAAGCCAGAGACAAAGTATTTTTAGCATGGAGATTGGTGAAGGTAAAACCTCATGGCTGGCCTCTTTAGTAATAAACAGTGTTCCCAACACTGTTTAAACTGAGAAGTTCCAATCAGTGAACACCATCATAAACCAATACAACATAAAACAACATAAACCAATAAAAACAAAAAAAAAGCATAAATTAATACTACTCCACCCCAAAAAATTCTTTGAATTCCTCTGAATGCATGAGGACAATGTTTACTCTAAACCAACCTGTTGGGTTTATTTCCAGAATACCGAACAAAGCTCCACTACAGGAGCCCTAATTAGTTTTTCTTAGTATTATTAAGAGTAAATCAAGATTCCTTATTTATATTTCAGCAAGGACTGCAGTATGTGTTGTTACTGTATCATAGAAAATCTTGAGCTGGGAAACTAGAAGACCTAGCTGAGTTGTGATATCTATTTTATACCTGCATACTGGCTCTTCTATATCCACACTGGTTAAACAAAAATATTATATACTGCATGCTTCAGTAGTACACAATAGATGTCTGTACAAACCTCACCAAATGCCGGGCACTGAAGCACTGCCGGGCCACCCGAAACCCTTGCAGCTGCTAGCATTGGTCCTGTTATTGTGCACTCACTTCACAACCACATGAGGACAAGTGAGAGATATCGAGCATTTGTGTTGTCATTCCAGGGTTGTGTTAGAAAACCTCTGACTTCAGGGTGGAGTTGCCCTAACGCTGACCTGGACTGTTTAATAACTGTCTGAGTACTGCCAGCTGTATAAAGCTAAATGGATAAGAAGATGAAAAAAACAGTTCTGTTAGTGTACACAGTGACAAAGTGACTATTTTTGACTAAATAGGTTGGTTTACCGTTATCCTGCTGTTGCAACCAAGTCTAGAGAGCCAGAGTTTGTTGTCTCAAAATCTCAGGCAGGCAAAGATAAGGGTAATAATTTATCCCCTAACTGCTCCAAGTGTACAGTAAGAATAACCCTCCAGCTCAGAATTATGCAGCAGTTTTTCTGAGCACTGTTGAAAGTACTCTGATTTTTAAAGATTATTTTCAGAGACGGATACTGCACATGTTGTTGATGTATGTGGATCTGCTGTCTAGCAACAATGAGGTAATAAGAAACAGACTTGCTTTTAAGCTCCATGCCAGAAAGAAAGGAATTGGGTTGCATAATAGGGGGTAATTACAAAATGAAAACCGATAAAATGGTGAAATATCTGAAAAAAGTACTGCTTGTGCTTGTAAAGTACAATGAGCTTTAATTACATTATTTGTTAAGAGCACCTTCCATTGGTTCACCTTTAATAGGTGAACCAATGAAAGGTATTCTTCTGTCAATTGTATGATAACACCACCAAGTTTCACTGGTGGCAGCAATGAAGTCAGCCCAAAAGCTGAGTCTAGTTATATCAGTTTAACTACTGTTACACATCATTATGAGGTCAAACTCTTGAAGACCAGAATCACCAAAACAGATTGCTTTCTCATTTATAAAGGGATTCATTTCTGTAGTCAGAGCTACATTAAATTGCCAGATGACTGAACGGAGTCCGGCATAAAGTCCATATACTACATAGACACTTAACACGCGACCACAACCCTAATGACACTGCGAGGAGCCAACTGTCTCTCCGCAGTCTCTTCCCCGTGCCCTCTTTCAGCATACCTTTTAGAAACATTATTCATTTGTGGCCTTTTTCTGCGCTTGCGTATGTGCTGAACGGCGCACGTGCGCCAATCTGATGCATGCACACAGATTTCTACAATACACAATCTGAACTACAACAGAAGAATAATAAAAGCTGGCAAGGAAGCCAAAACAAACGTTAACGACCGGTAATCTTTGTTAGTGAGTACACTAGCAGCCCCGGAAAAATCATGCTGTTCTTGGCTTTCAGTTTGAACGTCGTGGAGATCCCACTGTACAAGAGATACATCGTAAGAAAGTCGCTTTTAACAACCTTCCATTTTAATAGGTTTATTGCTGCTAGAAAACCAAGCTGCATTCATTTTTTCACGGGAAAAAAGGACAGCTTAAGCCACTCACCCCTGCTGGAAGTGAAAAGAATGGGCTCGCTCCTCATCTTAAAGTCAAGCTCATCTATAATCCCCCGTCCCGAGCAGGCGCGTGCCCAGCGGCTTCCTGGCAGCGGTAAAAATCCACACAGGCACACAGTTGTCTTCTATGCCTCCTCTTTCTACCTCCGACTGTCCTTTTCCTAGCAAATCGGCGGCCACTGAAACGTCTTTTTTTCCCTTTCAAAGTTTTTCCCCGGATCTTTCTCCTACTCCCTCCCTGTGCCTTCTCTCCTCCCCTCTCCTTAACCTCCCCTCTCTACGCGCCCCCTTCTCTCGCTCTCTTTCGCTCGCTCGCTCCCAATCTTCCTGCACTGATAGCACTGCTGGATTTATGAGATTTTCCCTTTGCTTTTCTTTATAATCTCCATTCTGGCCTATTCTGTTTTATTCGAAATTATGTGACTTAAGAATGAAGGCAGATTGATATAATTTAGATGCCAGTACTGTCCTTAATATGCTGCAATTTATTAATT